AGAGGAGAGGAGAGGAGAAGAGAAGAGAAGAGAAGAGAAGAGAAGAGAAGAGAAGAGAAGAAGAAGAGAAGAGAGAAGAGAAGAGAAGAGAAGAGAAGAGAAGAGAAGAGAAGAGAAGAGAAGAGAAGAGGAGAAGAATTTAAAAGCCAGCCAACTAAAACTAATCTTGGAATTCCACAAGAATATCTGGACATGAACAATATGTTGTTTATTTCACATAATACATTACCACAATACAAATTCATACACTCCCTGAAACATTTTTGAGATTTGTTGAGGGAGGAGTTTGAATGTTTTTTTTTTATTGTTAGTAAGAAAGGCCCCCTCTTTCCGCAATCTTTCTGACCTAGTATATCCAACCCATCGCCAAAAAATTAAAACAAACAAAGCAAACAAAAAGGAATGAAATTTAGTTTTGGGAAGGCTATGGAAGTAGACTCCGTATGTTAAATTCCACATGTAAAGCTTAAATTCCCATGACATTGAGGTTAAGTTCCTGCCTTATGCCATGTGTAAGTACACGTTCAATTTGTACTCTGTCAGCCAACATGAGACCTTGGGAGTGGTAGGAACCGACGTCAAGGAATTATCACTAGGAAATATTAGCCATAAATTCACTTGGTACCAGTCTTAAGGTAAGCCATTACTCTTTCATCCTAAGTCCCTTCTCTACAAAGGAGATGATAATATTATTCCTAATTGTCAAGGTTGTGACAAGGATTACTTTGCTTGCTTCCTATGAAGTGATTTGAAATTAAGTATGCTACATATAGCCACGTGCCTCACATTAAAGCAAATAATTACCAGTGCCTACTAGTGAACACATGCACACACACATACACATCAACAAACATATGTGCATACTGTATACTTATATTCTAAGAACTGGTGAGAATTTGCTTCTCCTTGTAGAGTTTGAGATTAGTCCACAATGAGACTCCAAGGATTTTCCTCTCTAAATCAGGTCTTCAAACTTGGCAGCTTTAAGACTTGTGGACTTCAATTCCCAGAATTCTCCAGCCAGCATAGCTATGCTGTCTGGAGAATTCTAGGAGTTGAAGTCCACAAGTCTTAAAGCTGCCAAGTTTGAAGACCTCTGCTAGTCTAGATCAAGCCCATCCCTGTTTTAATTTATCAATGTTGAGTCTCCAGTGAAGTTAAAATTGAAAGGTTTTGTTGAAAAATACATTAGCCTTCGTCCTAGAATAAAACAAGGAACAGAGAAACTTATCCTTCTTTTATTACTCTAAACTGTAACATTCCAAAAATGTAACTTTGCCGCACGGAATTGTAAAAGAAAACTATACATGGATACAGTTTATGCAGAACCATCTCCAACCAGTGGGATTGCCAAAGTAACATTTCCTTCACCTGTTCAATAACTGATGGAGGCATGAGAGATGTCTACTTGTTGCCCATGACTAATGTGTCTATACTTGGATTTTCGGTCATTGCTGTGTCCCAAAGTCAAAAACAAGCTAGACTGTTAGCAGCTGGATGGGTCATGTCCAGAACTGGAAATGATCTTTACAGTATTTGCTTGCTTCCTGTTGTCAGCAAGCTTTGGAGCAGTCTCTGGTGTGCCCTGGTATCTGCTCCATACCTAATAAGGACCAACAATGTATTCAATTTATATCTAGCAAGGAGCTCAAAGAATTTACCTGGGATTTCTCTTCATTTTGCCACCCCAATAGCCCCTGTGTGATAGACTGACATGAGAGAGACTAAATGCCTATCATCATAGAAACTCCCATCATTCAAGCAAGTTTCCATGGTTAATGGCAGATTTCACTACATTATGAAGTGACTCCTGCCCACTTTGACCAAGAATATGTGATCTCATCCAAGGATTTCGGTCAGAGGACAGGAAAGTGATTGTAATTCATTATATCATTCTTCCCAGATTCCCACTGCCTCTTTCTGTCTTTTTGCAAGACCCTTCATCCATTCCATCTGTGTTTTTTTTTAATGAATTACTCAGTGAATTCTACTAATTAATGGTTCAGTTGTTTAAATTATGCTGCAGGTTTTTAGCCATATGCAGGGCTAACTTTGTATTTTCCACGGCATCTTGAACACTCTCTCTCCCCACCTCTTCTGTTGTGTTGGATTGTGCTTCTTAGTAATACTCTTAGCTTTGCCCTATCTGGGAACTGTGAACCATGACACATAAAGAGCAGGTGGAGCTTCCATTGCACCATTGAGGTTGCCATTTTGTTTTTTTGTTTTTTTAAACCAGACCTTGAAGACCCCTCTGAATGACTATCAGGGAGCAGTTTTGGGAGGAGTTCTAGGGGACTGTACCCAAGCATCAGCCTTTACCCCTGTTATCCTGTAAAATAAGGACTACTCTACAGTTGTGGGCAGGAAGCTTGATGTTAACCATCAAGAATAATGAGTGGAGGGGAACAGGTTTGTACCAAAATTCAAAGCCTCCTATTAATGAACTTTACTTATTATGGGTCAATCTTTGGACAAAGCACATCTGGTTTGGCCATTTCAGCTGGCCTCTGAAGACTTGAAGTCTCCTTCAAGTCACGTTCAATTGTGGATGACTTCATACATTACCTTTTTTTCAGCAACATCATCAGTGTGTTTTGCTATTGCCTTCTTCCAGGGGATTTTCTTCTTAGTCTATCCAGTAGGCCTGAGCTTTCCTGGTGTTCTCCCATCCAAAGATTTTAGGGAGCTTGCTTATTTATTTATTTATTTATTTATTTATTTATTTATTTATTTATTTATTTAATTTTTATGCCGCCCTTCTCCCGAAGGACTCAGGGTGGTGAACAGTCAGAATAACATACATATAATGTGAAATAAAAATAATTTAAAATAATTAAACCGATTTGGCTCATCAATTAAGATCCTCAGCGTAGAATTTAGATAAACTGAAAATTTATGCCAGTCCGGCTTGGTGAAATAGAAAGGTCTTCAAGGCACGACGGAAAGTACGGAGATCTGGGATCATTTGTATCCCTGGGGGTATGCTGTTCCATAGGGCAGGTGCCCCCACAGAGAAGGCTCTCCTCCTGGGAACCACCAGCCGACATTGCTTTACTGACGGCACCCTGAGGAGGCCCACCCTGTGGGAGCGTACTGGTTGGTGGGAGGTTATCGGTTGCAGAAGGTGGTCTCGTAGGTACCCAGGTCTTAAGCCATGGAGCACTTTAAAGGTAAGAACCAGCACCTTGAAGCGCACTCGGAAGACCACCGGGAGCCAGTGCAGCTCGCATAGGAAAGGTGTTACATGTGAGCGCCATGTCGCTCCCATAATCACCCGAGCAGCGGCATTCTGGACCAGTTGGAGCCTTCGGGTGGCACCTCAAGGGTAGCCCCATGTAGAGAGCATTACAGTAGCCCAGTCGGGAAGTGACTTTTCCCACAACTTGGTGCTTTCCATGTGTTAAATTAGTAATGCCCATCTCACTTTAGACTTGTAAAGTTCTTTGTGGAGATCCCAAAGTTGGGGAAGATAGCTTTCCATCACATGGTCATTCTCGGCATCTCTCTAACTTTCCCAACCAACTCATCATACAGAATTTCCAGAAATGTTGATCTTTTAAACTGATCTGGGTCTCTCCCCCCACCCCAAAAAAAAATTCCTCCCAAAAGAAAATTCAAAACAAACAAACAAACAAAAAACCCCTTAATGAAAATAGTTAAAAGTATGCACATTATTTGGATCAAAGTGAGATTCTGGAAAGGAAAAGAGTCCTGGTTTGGGTCAGTTGGCCCAATATATATCGAAAATCAGAGGTCACAGGTCTCAAGTGCTCTTGGCCTTGAAGAACTGCTAAATCTGGAGGGTGGGGGGAGAGGAACAGCCCAAATGATCCTTCCCTTTTCGACCCCAGGACTTCCTGGCTCAGCATCCCAAACTCATCCCAAACTGCCCCCTCCCTTGCAAACAGCAGGTGGAGTTTCAAGAGAAGAGAAGTGTCAGGAAATGGTGTGGCTACCACTCTTCCTGCCTGCCCCCACCCCAGATTCAGGGCTGCTTCAAAGCCCCCAACATTTCCTGTCCCACCTCTTTGGAGGAAAAAAGAATCTCCCCCACCTCCCCGGCAGCATTTTAATCTTTTCACTGCTAAAGAAGAGCTAGGTCGCCCCTCCCCCGCCCCACCTCCAGTGCTCCTTGGCCCCCCTCCTTTTTGGTTCTTGGTTTTAGTGGTCTTCCCTACAAGGAGACCCCTGCAATGTCTTAGGAGCTGCACATAAGTGGCGTAAAAGGGAGGGGGCGTAATTCCAATGCCGTCCCCAGAAATATCTCTCATCTCCGCTCCGCTGAAACCTAAAGCCCCCCCTCCCCAACCCCACCCAAGTGAATCTAGGTGACTAGGTGGTTCAGTGGCTAAGACACTGAGCTTGTCGATCAGAAATCCCTAGTACAGGTCTCCTGCATGAGCAGGGGGTTGGACTAGATGACCTTCAAGGTCCCTTCCAACTCTGTTACTGTTTGTTTGTTTGTTTATTTATTTATTTATTTATTTATTTATTGGTTCGATTTATATGCCACCCTTCTCCGGAGACTCAGGGCGGCTTACAATGTGTTAAGCAATAGCCTTCATACTTTTGTATATACCTGCTTAGTAGGGCTTTCCCCCCCCCCCACCCCAAGCGGTGTTCTTTTTTATACAAAGTCAGCTTATTGCCCCCACAAACCGGGTCCTCATTTTACCTACCTTGAAAGGATGGAAGGCTGAGTCAACCTTGAGCCTGGTGAGATTTGAACTTGCAATAACTGCAGGCAGCTGGTGTTATTTAACAGTGCTTTAGTCTGCTGCGCCACCAAGGCGCTGTTAAATATACTGTTAAAATCTAAACTTGAATAAATACCGTAGGAATGGCTCTTTAGCTGGGGAAGGCCGGGAAGCCGACTGGCCGCCCCTTCTGCCTTTACCTCTGTCCGAAGCCCATTCCCGCCCCTTAACCTGGCCTCCTGCAAATCCTTTAGACTGGACCTCCCACCTTCCAGCCCCTGGAAAATGACTGTGGCTGAGAGTTGGATCCAACCTAACTAAAGGGCGCCAGTTGGGAAAGGCTGTTCTTGGTTGGAGGAATCCACTTCTTCGGTTAAGTTACGTTGTTCTCTCTCCCTCTTTTTCTTTTGGGACGGGGGAGTGAGGCCCGGAGATATCAGAAAGAATAGTCTGTGCTCTGCATGTATTGCAATTGAAAAGATGGGATTTGGAACTCCAAAGGTGGGAGAAGAATCAAGAGGGAAAGAGAAGGGGCCGAGGGAGAGCTGAGCTCTTCCTAAAACGATTGGTTTGATTTTTTTAAAAAAAGAATATCACCTTTATTCTTGTTTATAAGTAACTCCAGGCAGTGAACATACTTCATACTCTTCCTATTTTTCCACAACAACTCTGTGAGGTGGGTTGGGTTGAGAGTGACTGACCCAAAGTCACCCAGCTGTTCTTTCATGCCTAAGGTAGAACTAGAACTCACAGTCTCCTGGTTTCTTGACCAGGCTTTCAACAACAAACTTAGAACAAACTGGTACTCTGACTTGATCCTGGATCAAAGCCTTAAGGGTAAAGAAAGAGTATCCTGGGATATAATTGCCTGGATTAATTATATCCTGGGATATAATTGTTTCAGCCACTGGCAGGGCAGGAAATGGGACTAGACTCCATTAGATCCCATGCTGATAAAGAGCAGCCAACAGAAAACTGGAATAGAAGAAGAGAGGGAGGGAAGTAAGTAAGATTTTATCCTTAGAATTATATTGGTCACATAGCATCACCATGCTTTCCTGAAAGAGGGGAGATGATCAAGCCAGACCATTGTGATTTGGGGCAGTGTTTCTTAATTAATCTTCTTAATTAAGGTGAAACCTCCTAACAAAGAGGACAATTAACCAGTGGAACAGCTTGCAGTTGAAAGGTTGTGGGTGCTTCATCACTTTTTTTAAAAAAAGACTGGAGAGTCACTTGTTTGAAATGGTATAGGATCTCCTGCTTCAGCAGGGGGCTGGACTAGAAGACCTCCAAGGTCCCCTCCAGCTCTATTTTGATTCTGATTCTCAACCTCCAATTCAGACCTCCAATCTCAGACTTCCAACCTCCCCTCCAGCTCTATTCTGCTTCGGTATATCTCAACCTTGGCAACTTTAAGACTGTGGACCAGTGGTGAAATCCAAATTTTTTTACTACCGGTTCTGCGGGAATGGCTTGGTGGGCGTGGTGTGGCTTGGTGGGTGTGGCAGGGGAAGGATATTGCAAAATCTCCATTTCCACCCCACTCTGAGGCCATCCAGAGGTGGTATTTGCTGGTTCACTGAACTACTCAAAATTACTGCTACCGGTTCTCCGAACTGCTCAAAATTTCCGCTACCGGTTCCAGAACCTGCTGGATTTCACCCCTGCTGTGGACTTTAACTTCCAGAATTCTGGGACTTGAAGTCCACACGTCTTAAAGTTGCCAAGGTTGAGAAATACTGATCTAGGGTAATGAAAGGAAAGGTGGGGTGCAACTTTCACCATTTCAAACAAACAGACAGCACGTGGCTAGAAGAAGAAGAAGAAGAAGAGGAGGACGTCGTCAGATCTGGCGAAAACCCACTCAAACCAATGGACGGAATACGCGTCCACGGAAGGCCAACCAACATCCCGAAATCGTTGCGGTGTCCCGCCCCAGTCGTTTCGGAAGGCGAATCTCTTTTCTCTCTCTTGCGAAGGAGCTGCGAACTCTTCCTTCCAGCCGAATCCGGGGGATGCGGTACCTTTGGCGGAGATGTCGGAGAAGGAGCCGTCCGGATGCCTAGTGAAAGCAATGAAAATAATAAACCCCTTATGAGATGCTGGGAGGGGAGTAGGGAGGGGAGGTCATTTGTATTTGGATCTTTGGTGCTTCAGTGGTTCGATTTTACTGTGATACGATAGTGAGGGATAAGACCCATCCTAAAAATATAACAAGGATTAACACAGATAGACACACACACACACACACGGAATAATACATTGCTTTCTTCCCCAATGACTTCTTTGAATACGCTTCTAAAACCACGCTCCAAATCGCCCTTTCCAATCTGCAGGAAAGGCTGAAATCCTCTTCCCCACCGCGTTGCTCCAGGGAGACCTCTTTGCCAGAGTATGCCTCCTTAAAGGAGTATTTGTAATGAGGAGTCCGATTTATCGGCGGAGGGGAAAAAAAATCCTGTTTTGCCAAATCTTTCGATTCCTTTTTTCCCTCGGCTTCTAGAGGCGTCCGAGCTCTTGCCTGGCGGAGGGAAGCATCCGGCAGACGAAGATCAAGGATCTCCGCAAAGGAGAAAACGACAAGTGATCCCACAGCGGTGCCGTGTCACAAAGAGCAGCCGTAACCAGCCAAGGGTTTAAAAGCGTGGCCATCATTTCAATCCCCTTTTATGTAGGTTTCCAGTGGCCCTGAAGCTGCCCAGATTCTTAAGACAATCTGGGGGGAATCTTCCCGTGGAATTGAATGGGGCGTCCTCTCCACTGCCATAGTTACAAATTAAATACAATCCTTCCACGAAATGTGACATTGGGAAGATAAGAAACAACTCTATATCCCTTTAACGGAGCGGTGGGAATGGAGCAGATGAGAATCCGCTAATACAACTGAGGCGCTGTATAAGGCAATGGGAAATCCGCTATAATTCTTATTTCTTTTTGTTTCGCTCTGGTCATTTATCATCGAAATCCACTCGATCCCTGCTCTAAATGTTAAAGCTGGAAGGATCTGGGAGGGGCTTGGGCGGGGTCTCCCCTCTCTCCTTTTAGAAAACCCCCATTGTTCGCTTCCATTGTTTGGATTCGATGTGGATGCCTTTTTGTGGCAATTGGGATACTTGAATTGCGTTGGGGCAAAAAAAGAAAGAAAGAAAGAAAAGAAAGAATCCCAGAACTTTGCAATCTGTCAAAGTGGCCAAAGCAGAATTCTGTGCTCGGGGTAACATTTCTTTGCTTTTATGAGTGGGATGCTGACAGCTATGGCTGCCTCCAAACGGGGTGCTTTTAATTAGCTGTTGGATTATCCACCGTTGGCCTTATGGGCATCGTTAGCATCTGGAGACCATTAGAGATCTCCCACCTCTCTTATTCAGAAGGCCCCGTTGCTGAAGTCGTGAACTCGCCGGGTCACCCCTTTTCTTCCCGGAGACTGAATGAAGGCATCGGTGTTAAATCTAAATAACCAATCCATCACCCTCAATTTAAGCAAGAGGAACGGGTGGGCGGTTCTAAATATAATTCGGCGGCTGCCCCTGATCTTGAACTTCCTCTTAAGCAAGACAAACGGGTTCTCCAAGGTTCAGAAGTCGGAAGAGTTTCCCTCCCTCCCTCCCCCCCTCCCCCCTCCCCCCCAGACATGGAAGTTTTCACCCTTTGAGAGATATTCGCTGTCTTCGGGCAACTGATTTCACGGGGTTTCTGTGGTGGTGGGTGCGATGTATCTTGCTCGGAACGTATATAGAGGAGAGGAGAAAGGTGGCTAGAGAAGGACCAGGTATCCCTGAAAACCCTGCCAGCAAAACAAAGTAAGAGAACGATGCTTGTCCCAGTCCTAGTTGGGGGGGGGAGAGGGGGCGGGGGAAATTTGCCTGAAATTGTCTAGTTAGTCAACAGGACTTCAGAGTTTTCTCTCTTTTGGGTCCGCCCCTCTGGGGTACGTCCCAAAAAAATTGACGAGACCCATTCTCGAATCCGCGTTAAATTTAAGATAATGGGCAACTTTCTAGTCCAATCCCCTCCACCGGAGCGAGTTCCCTGAGATTCACTCCCAGGTAAGCAGAGCCTTCCTCCGTATGTTGGACTACAGCAGGGCAGGGGTCTCCAACCTTGGCAACTTTAAGCCTGGAGGACTTCAACTCCAGCGAGCCTGTAGTACAGTGGACTAAAGCACCGTTATTAACATCTGCTGCTTGCAATTACTGCAAGTTCAAATCTCACCAGGCTCAAGGTTGACTCAGCCTTCCATCCTTTCAAAGGTAGGTGAAATGAGGACCCAGATTGTGGGGGCAATAAGCTGACTTTGTATAAATATACAAAAGGATGAAGGCTATTGCTTAAAGCATTGTAAGCCTCCCTGAGTCTCCGGAGAAGGGCGGCATATAAATTAAAAGAAAAGAAAAAAAAAAAAAACCTCCCAGAATTTTGCAAAGCTGGCTGGGGAATTCTGGGAGTTGAAGTCCGCCAGGCTTAAAGTTGCCAAGGTTGGAGACCCCTGGAACTACAGCATCCCTCATCCTTACAGTCCCTGGACGAGTTGGTGATGACTGGGATTTGAAGTTCAGGACGACGAGTGAGTCCGGGTTGAGGAGGGGGGGGATAGCCTGACTTGTGGGTCTGCAGGCTGAAAGAGACAAGAATCCTGAGCTGGCTTAGACTGAGCCTAAATCTCCTTAAATCGAGGACTTTTCCTCCTGAGAGAAAAAGAGTCCAGAAAGTGGCTTTTCGGGCAATAAAGACCCTCTGCCTGCGCTGCTGGGCCTGCCCCAAGACGGCTCTCGCTCTCGGATCCAAGGCTCGTTTCCTCGGGGCCTGGGACTCTCCTGCCAAGGCAGGAGCCTCCCCTTATTACCTGAGGCTTTATTGAGGAGGGGGGAATGTTCTTGGAGGCCTCCCCGAACCAGATAGAAGCCCCCCTTTTATTGTCCTTTTTTTCTCCCATTGGCCAGTGCCAGACATCCCAGGATAATTTCACAGGGCCATTCTAGCCCCACCAAGCAGCCTCTCAACCTTCTCCAAGGTGCCCCCCCTCTCCGGTTTCCTATCCGGAGGGGTTGGCGCCGATGGGGCGAACTCTTCCCAATCCAAGACCGCGGGAGAGAAAACTGGGGCCACATTTTTCAAAGGGGCGCCCTCAGTTGGGGCCAAAATCCAGGACACCCCCCCAAGGGGGCGCCCCTCCCGCGGATCTGGTCTCCCCGGTGTCTCCTCAACCCCCCCCCCACCTCCCACCCCTGGGCTGGGGGCCAGCGGGCGCTCCAGCTTGTTTGTTTGGCGAGCGCTCTTGAGCCCGGCCCGCACGACTTGGGGAGGTGACGTTGGGGGGGGGAGGGAAAGGTGGGGGGGAGAGACGTCTTGTAAAACGGGACGGATAAAAACGAGCCGGAACATCTAGTTTGACAGAGTGATCCGGCATGATGAAGCGGCCTCTCTAAAGGAGGGGCGGAGAGGCGAAAGCGGGGAAAGGCCGGGCCAAGCGCTCTTTTCTCTCCTCTTTTCCCAGCCTTTGGCCCCGGAGGGTGGGGTGAGGGGAATCTCCGGAGGGAGAAGCCAGCGCAGGATCACGTCCAAGGATCACGCTCTTTGCGACGGGGGAAAGTCATTTGATTTGGTTCCCCCAGTCGACCGGGGCCTACGGAGGGATCTTCTGCCGCCTCGGCTCTGCCTTGTTTCCCTCTCTTCGCTGTCTCTGCCGGCGGATGGAAAGGACCCATTTTCAAGAGAAAGCCTCGTTTTGATTAAAGCTGACACGCCGCTGATAACTCCGTGCTAATGGGCAATAATTAACATAATAGCCATAATTAAAAGCACGCTAACAATGCCATAAATTTATCACCACCATTTGAGTCGGGTTTTTGGGCCCCTAACTGCTCTCTCTCCTCCTTCATTAAACGTGTCGCCTTTCACAAAAAAGGGATGTTTGTACATTTTCCAGGAACAAAGATATCCGTTTGGAAACACGAGGCTGCTGCTTCTCCACACTCCCACCCCCGTTCTCCCTCCGTGTTCGGGTATTTATTCAAACGTCTCCCGGGGTTTCGTTTCGCGGCGGCCGCACGATTATTTTTTTTTACACGCGGGTTTGTTATTATTCCTTTTAGAGCACCAACAACTTTGTGTTACAGTATCCCCCATCCTCATCCTCACTGCACAGAAACGGGGCCCGCATTGGATAGATTTCGATGGGATCGCGGCTTCGTGTGTGTGTGTGTGTGTATGTGTGAGAGAGAGGGGGGGAGGGAGAGAGAGAGAGAGAGAAATGGAGAGAGGGAGAGAGAGGGGGGGAGAGAGAGAGAGAGAGGGAGGGAGAGAGAGGGGGGAGAGGGAGAGAGAGAGAGGGAGAGAGAGGGGGGAGGGAGAGAGAGAGAGAGAGAGAGAGAGGGAGGGAGAGAGAGAGGGGGGGAGAGGGAGAGAGAGAGAGGGAGAGGGAGAGGGAGAGAGAGAGGTGTTATCTAAAAGGCCAAGCTGGATGCGCCTTCGGAAGGAAGGTTGTGGCCGTGAAACTCTTGTGGGGAGGTGGTGTCAATTAGATTAGGTTACCCACCCCACCTTCCTCCTTCTCCTCCTCTCCTTGCCTTCCTTTCCCTCGCCGGATAGCAAGCCTGCCTAGACCGCGGCTTTCCCCCCCCCCCCATTCTTTTTCCAACCTGCTAAGGAGAAAATGCTTCCCCCTCTCAGTCCAGCAGCTGGGCTATTTCACAGCATTCACATCGAAACCTATAGACACCAGCACTCTTCTCTTTCTCTCCTGGCACGCCAGTTCATCCACACGCTTCCTCCCCGCCCCCGCCCCCCCCCCCCCCCCCACCTCTTTACACCCTTTTCGATTAAAAAAACGCCCCGCTTTTTTTTTTTAATGGTAAGGATTTAGGTCAACGATTTCTACAACTATTCCGTGAAAGTCACGGGGCACAGGAGAGGAGCAAATATATAGTTGGTTCCGGGAGAAGAAGCCTAGAGCCCAACGCAGCTGGTCGTCGTCCCCTCTCCTCCTTTTCAGTCCTACCACCTCTCCGGATTCATTTCTAACTCACTTTGCGGGCTAGACACTCACTTGCTCATCCTAGGTTCCAAGTGAACTGTAATTAATTTCTCCTCTCCTATCATAAGTTGTTCGTTCCGCGTCTCCCTCTCTTTCTCCCCCTCCCCCCCCATCAAGCCCAGCAAACGTCTCTATCTGACTCCCTATCGATCTGGACAGTAGTTTCCGCCGCTGCTAAATCGCGCCTGTGCATTATTGTACATATCTACACGTAGCTTCTCTCTCTCTCTCTCTCTCTCTCTCTCGCATGAATTGGCTCTCGCCTCCGTTTCAATAAAAAAAAATCTTTTTCAGCCTTCTCTTTCAGGAGAGTAATTAGGAGCATTTCTTCGGAGAAAGTTTAGCTATTATTCTAAAATTGTTTTCTTCAGCATCCACACACACATATACAGACGCTCCACAGTCACCAAACTGGACGCTGTAGGGAAGCTTCCCCACGAAGTTGGAAAACTTAGAGGTATAAAGAGCAAAGTTCCCTGAAGGGTTCCCTTTTACCCATTCGCTGGTGGGTGGTCCTGGCCTTTGGCTTAAGCTCATCCTTCCTTTGGGCAACCGCGACTTCCTTTCCATCTCCATCTCCAGAGAGAGAGAGAGAGAGAAACTGTCTCTTTCTTTCCCAAATTAGCTTTTGGATGTCAGCACCGGTCTTTGTGCTTTGTGCTTCGGACACCTTGCTAGATATGAACAGTTTTCCTCTCCCTCACCTCCTTTTGGGGAATATTTTAGGGGAAGCTACAACATACGCATTGATCCAATAAATAAAAAACTATATATGTATATATTTGCAGCACAGGAAAAGGTGAACAGGAGACAAATCAAAGATGAGCCCCCAAAACCAGTTGGCCCTTCCTCCAGGAGGCCCGCAAGCGAACGAATACTAGCTCTGCGGATGGTGCCTGGCTTCAAACTCAGGTGCCCCGTTCGATTTGCCAAAAGGAGCCCCAAACTTTGCCTCCATGCTTTCTCTTGCCTCCTTTTTTCTCTCCCCGGCCACCCAAACACCCTCCGGCAGTCACCCTCCCTCTTCCTCCCAGCATCAGATGGTAACACTGATGGAACAAGAGATTAGCACAATAGAGTCCTAATCGAAGGGATACGTTTCTTCCACGCTAAGCACCGTAATTAATGGTATGAATCAATTAATTTGACTTCGGTTGTGTCAAAGCAAAAAGCTCAACAAATGAAGGCGACGCTTTCTAGAGTGATGTACTCTCCCTCCCTCCCTCCCTCTTTTTCTCTCTCTCTCTCATCACCTTGTTACAATCCCCGGTGAGATTTCACAGAAAACCACCTAAGAAACGGATGTTTTTGTAATGCGTGACTGTATTTGAGAAAGGGGTTTTTTTTTTTCCCCTTCACGGAACGGCGAGATCGGATTCCTTTTATTCATTGCTGTGACACACGCACACGGAGATCTGCAAAGGTTTTATTGGTCCAAGGGTCGGAATTCACCCCGGGACCATTGAAAGGTAAAGGCTCCCTCACGAAGAGACCAAGAGGGGGGAAAAAAAGAAAAATGGACAGAGAAAACCTCCCACGGCCACCCGCAGTGACTGAAAAGGGGGGACGCGTGTTTGTGGGGTGGGAAAAACCTGGTTTACGAATCCTTCCCGCCAACAGGCACATCTCCTAAAACTCGTCCGAATTAGCCAAGCCTGGTTTCTTCCCTCATCTAACCGAGACTGGGAAACGGTGGCTTTCCTTGCTAAGGAGCCCCAGCTGGTGGGATGAATCGCTCCAAAGCAGCGATCGTAGAACCGCAGCCGAAGATCCTCTGTAAAAGGTGAGAGCTTCCCAATAAGGAGCTACGGAAAGTCCCTTTCCTCTACCGCGAGGCAGCGCTTTGCAAAAACAAGAGGAGGACAAAATATCCCACGCGTCGCATTTGCTCGAAGTCCCGTCCGCTTTGGTTTTTTTTTTGGGATGTCCCGTGGCAGATCACCCAATAGAGCGATCCGTCCCTCCATACCATACCGGTTGGTGGGGCGACGGCGGTAGAGGTGGGGTGGGGGTGGGGAGAGAAATGTAACTTACGGCTGCCGGTTTTTCCAGAGGTAAAACTTGCAAGCCCCTCTCGTGTGTGAACAGTGATCTGGAGGTCTGGTCCTCCAAGCAGAGAGCCACGTCCCCCCCCTCTTACTTTCCCTTTGCTCAGAGCATAAATCACAGGGAAGGTTTTTTTTTTTTTTTCCCCTTCCTCCCACCCGGTGCTTTCTGTATACTATTCTTGCCATTTCTGTCTTCATTAGCACGTTTCGACACTCGGTCTTAAGCCAACTCCCCTTTTCTCCTTCGGAAGACGGACCCACTTTTTTGGTTGGCGTGTTTCGCTCCCGTTTAAAATATAAAGATGTCTCGCTTTTTATCCGAAAATTGTAAAATGTTGTGATGGAAACAAAAGCCGCAGCACAAGGGGCAGTCCAGGCAGGTGGATTTGGGCATTTCTTTTGGAGATTCAGAAAAGACACAGGTCTTTTTTTTTTTTTCCCCTGACGACTGTTGTTTTTGTTTTTGTTGTTGTTGTTGTTCCTATCAACATTTCTCTGAAGTCACAACAATCATTACAACAAGGCATAGGACGAAAAACAGAAAGAAAAGCCACCTATCAAGCGAGTCATTTCCTACCTAAACCCCAAGCAATTGTTCTCTCTGGAAACGGAGGCTTTTGTTTAAAGAGGAGGAAATAGACATTTGCAACAAACTTTTGAGAACTGGCTACCTCCTGGAGTTTGTTTTCTTGGGACAAGGCTTACCTTGGAGGTGAATACCAAAATATTTCCATTCACACACATTCCCCCTTCCCCATTTCCTACTTTTTAATATGCTAATGAGCTATTATTACGTCGTTAACACCTCTGCAAGATACCACCAATAATAATAAAGCTACAGCGTGTATACACACACACACACACACACACACTTCTTTTGGTTATTTTTCTTTCTCTTCCCATCTTTTTTTTTTTTAGGGAGGCGTGGTTATTTTATGTCTTTTGGTCTTATTTTCGATCCCCAGCTGACCTACAAGAGGAATAGATACCCATCTTTTCCTTCTACCTTTCCCTGGAGAATGCTGGTATTTATTTGGTAAAGGGAGAAAAAAGTAGAAAAACAAAACAAATTTTTTTTTCTCAAGTTGTGGAGGAGATAGAGATGTTCAAACCTCCCCCCCCCCAAAAAAAACGGATTTTAAAAAACCAAAACATTCCAAGGCAACGTAATAATTGTATTTACAGTTGGCTCTAGAAATTTCATTCCTAATCCAGCCCGACTGACACAGTTGAAGACTTACTTTGCTTTCCCTTCTCTCTCTTTTAAAAAAATATTATTGTCTCAGGTGCGGTGTGTGTGTGTTTGTGTGTGTGTGTGTGTGGAAATGCCCAATTCTGAAAAGATTGCATGGGGCATCTTCTCTCTTGTGTGTGTGTGTCTGCGTGCCTGAGTGCATCGAATTCCAGCTGGGTTGTTTTGTTTTGATTTGTTTTGATGCTCCATCCATTCCTATTAGAATAAACTTGGCGACCTGGGCAGATGTTTGTTTTTAAGGGGACATGCTGGGGAGCCCTGCCACGAGGCCTGTTTAGGCAAGTTTTCCCCGAAGGGGAGCCGAGCTGATCACTTGGCGGTGATCAAGGGGGAAAGAAGCCACCGTTGTCTCTTTGTTGACAATCCCCTGAAACAACTTGAGCCCGGGTTTGGCCTGCCAGGGGGGCGCTGACGTCAAGCCATCACGTGGCCCCGCCCCCTAGTATATCTTTAACTGGAAAGTAATCTATCAGGAAAGCCTTTTGAAAAAAAGGCACTTTCTAAGTGGCAACCGAGTTCCTCTAGAACGCCCGTGGATTCCCCGCCCTCTCCTGCTCGCTGGGGCTGCCAAACCGAACCTTTTCTCCCTCCGCCCATCCTCCCTTTCGGGATAGAGAGAGGGGGGGGAACCTAAACAGAGAAGACGGAGGGGGGGTGTTTGTGGGATTTGAAAACAGCGAGGAGGGGGCAGAGAGAGGAGGAAAGAAGGCAAAGGGAAAGAGGGGAGGTTTGGAGCCAAGGCAGAGGAGAGATGGAGATCCCCGCAGCCGAAGAGAGCTAACCTGCAGCAACAGCCTCGGTCGGTGGTGGCGGGCACAACCCTTCCGATGAGCCGGGAGAAGGTCGCGGGTCGCCAATCGCTCCGGTTGGGGGAAAGCACCGTCCAGCGCCACAGCAGCCCGGAGGTGTCTGGAAGCCCGGAGTCGTTCCGGGAAGGAGGAACCCTAAAGGGCTCCAGACCAGGAGCCGAAAACGGTACTCGAATCGCTCGCTCGGGTTTGCCGCCGCCGCCGCCGCCGCCCCTTCGGCCTCTGCCTGCTCCCTGCCGCCCCGTCGTCGCTGCTGCTGCTGCTGCTGCTGCTGTCGCTGCCGCCGCTTGACTGGTGGATCGGGAGAGGCTGCTGAAAGGAGAAGCCCCGAGTGGCCGCCCCGCTTGCCGGCGTCGCACTCGAGCTGCGTGCAAGGCTTGGCCCGCAGATCGCCGGGGCGGCTAACAGCGCAGTCGCCGCCAAGGTGGGCAAGGGGCTGCGGTCTGCTCTCGGATGCCGACAGCTGGGTGAGGAGGAGGAGGAGGAGGAGGAGGAGGAAGCCCCCGTGGCCTGCAGGTAGCGGAGGAGGAGCAGGAATAAGAAGAAGAAGAGGAAGGCTGGGGAGGGGGGTCGCTCCCTCTCTGGCTGCTGACACCGCTACCTGTTGGAGAAGCACCTTGTTGAAAGAGGGGCCGGATTTGGGTCCAAGTGTCCTCAGGAGCCCCTTCCTTCCTTCCTCCCTTCCTTCCTTCCTTCCTTCCTTCCTTCCTCCCTCCCTCCCTCCCTTCCTTCCTTCCTCCCCGAGACAGAGACACTTTTCGCCCCTTCTCCTCTCCCAACTCTCCCGGCTCTCTCCCGATCATCATCGCCGCCGCAATTAATTAATTAATTAATCAATCCCCCCCCCACTCCAGCCCGCCGCTTTCCCTCCTTTCCTGAGCTGGGATGACTCTGTCGGGCAACCTGAGCGCCAACGACATGTCCGGCCAGACGGTGCTGACGGCGGAAGATGTGGACATCGACGTGGTGGGCGAGGGGGACGACTGCCTGGAGGAGCGGGACGGCGGCGGCGGCGGCGGGGGCAGCGACCTAGAGGCCGTCGGCAGCCCCGGCAGCGGCTTGGCTAGGTTGCCCGCCTCGCTGGCTTTGGACGAGGCGGCCGAGCTGCTGATGGCCAAAGAGGCGGCGGAGATGAGCTCGGGCAGCAGCAGCGGCGGCGGCGGCGGGAGCCCCGTCGAGGAGAAGGGAAGCGAGGAAGGCTCGGCGCCGGCGGCGGCGGCGGCGGCGAGCGCTGCGGCTGCTGCCTCCAGCGGCGGCAAGCCCAAGAGCAGCCTGGTGAAGCCGCCCTACTCGTACATCGCGCTGATCACCATGGCCATCCTGCAGAGCCCGCAGAAGAAGCTGACGCTGAGCGGCATCTGCGAGTTCATCAGCAACCGCTTCCCTTACTACCGGGAGAAGTTCCCGGCCTGGCAGAACTCCATCCGCCACAACCTCTCGCTCAACGACTGCTTCGTCAAGATCCCCCGCGAGCCGGGCAACCCGGGCAAGGGCAACTACTGGACGCTGGACCCGCAGTCCGAGGACATGTTCGACAACGGCTCCTTCCTGCGGCGCCGCAAGCGCTTCAAGCGGCACCAGCAGGAGCAGCTCCGCGAGCAGACGGCGCTCATGATGCACAGCTTCGGCGCTTACAGCCTGGCCGCCGCCGCCGCCGCCGCCGCCGCCTCGTCCTCGGGCCCCTACGGCCGAGCCTACGGCCTGCCCCACGGCGCCTACCCGCACCCGGCCGCCTTGCAGTACCCCTACATCCCGCCCGTCGGACCCATGCTGCCGCCCGCCGTGCCCCTCCTGCCCTCGGGCGAGCTGAGCCGGAAAGCCTTCAACGCCCAGCTCAGCCCCAGCCTCCAGCTGCACCTCAGCGGGCTCGGCGCGGTGGCAGGGTCGGGCCCCGCGGCCGGCGGGGTCAAAGCCGAGCCCAGCGCCCGGCCTTCCTTCAGCATCGAGAATATCATCGGGGCGAGCGCCGGGCCGGCCTCCAGCTCTGCCTCGGCCGTCAGCGCCCAGACGTTCCTCCGGCCGCCCGTCACCGCGCAGTCGGGCTTGCTGGCCCACCAGCCGCTCTCGCTGGCCAGGACCACGGCGGCCATCGCGCCCATCCTCAGCGTGCCTACAAACATTCTCTCCGGACAGTTCCTGCAGCCCGCCGCTTCGGCCGGCGCGGTCCAGGCCAAGTGGCCGGCGCAGTAGCTCGCCCACTTGGACCCGCTCTCCCTTCTTTCCTTCCTTCTTTCTTTCTCTTCCTTTCGCCTCTCCTTTTTCTGAGATCCTGCCAAGAATCGAGGGGAAGGGGGGGGTTCCCTGGCCGCCTCCCGCTTCGCCAAGAGACTCTCTTCTCGCCACGACCCTCTGAGGACTCGATCGGCTCCAGTGGCCGCATCTTCTCTGCCTTAGTCCGTGGCCTTCGCGGTGTAAACCCGGAGGCTTCGGAGCTCCGAAACAAGGCTGGCGAAACGCATAGGAAAGAAGGGTTCGGACGCTGCAGGTAAAGCTGACACGCAACCCGCCGCGACCTGTTTCTTCGATATTTGTAGTGGGGAGGGCGACAGGCAATGACGGACTTTCCTTTGCAGTTTTTAATTTTATTTTTTTAATGGTCCATATTTGGCAAAAAAAAAAAAAGCAAAGCAAAAGCAAATAAAAAATCCAGTGAAAAGGGGAAAACGGGAAGTCGAGAAAGCTCAAGATTAGGAGTCCCGAACTTTCACTTTTGTTGAAGGTTCTCATTTTTCCTCCGGTAATTTTCTTCGAAATAAATCCAAATTTGCAGCAAACGATAAGGGAAGGCGTTTTAAATATGAAAGAACTGAGCAGGGAAAAAAAAGAAGGGGAGAAATACCCCTCTCATTCTATTATAGAAGTCTGTTTATATATGAATGAATATATGTATTCTAAATGTTATTCCTTCGTGTTGTACACAGCTTTGTAAATAAATTTTTAAAATGGCACTTTTGGTGTTTGCTTTCCAGTTAGTACATCATATGAAAGAGAGTTATAAAAAACGATTTTGCTCCATTGGGAAAATTCTGTAGTCATTCAGCTAGATGGGAACAAAAAAAAAAAATCAATAGAACCTATATATGGGATACAATTAAAAATACAAGACTGAAAGATTTAATGCCTTAAAGAGCAAGAAGATCCTTCCCAAAAATCATCCTTGACCTTTTCCATTAATCTATATCTAAATCTAGATATATCTAGTGACACTTCTCTAAAAACGTTATAAAATTGCTACAGATTGGATCACACTTATAGGTGAATTATTTGGATATTATATAAATATTAAGATAGAGATGGTAAAGTAATTTCCATAATAAAGAAATAGGATTGGGACAATTTGTCAGATGATCTGGTAATAAAAACAATTAATTCGAAGGAAGGAAGGAAGGAAGGAAGGAATTATACTGAATTAATACAGAACCAGGAAGACAAATTTCATTTCTGTTTTAATTACATTTAATAAGTTAAAAACTTGAATTCTCCACCTAGGTTTTTATATTAACTGCATTTTCCCTCATGTTCAAAGAAATGCAGAAGGTGTTAGAATTCTGTTTGTCTTTAAATTAAATATGTTTTTCTTCTATTGAAATAGCATCTAACTTTAGTCTCTGGAATCAAGTTCAAGAAAGCTTGTAATTCATTTCTTTTGAACTGCAATCAAAATCACAAGACTCAGAATTTGATACCAATGCTCAGTTACTAACTGATATGCCACTGTCGACAGCCTGCCCCTCCGCAAAATTAGGAGAGAATCTAACCGCATATTCCTAATTGAATCTTGGTGGACAAATGCTTTGATGTACCAAACGACTTTAACCTAATTAAGCCTTCTGGGCCTAATAGAGGGAACTTCCTCGTACATGTTATGTAGCAGTCTCTCGCAGGCAAAGATCCGTGGTATCTTTTAAATCGGGATCAACCTGGGAAATCAGGGCTCGGCGTTTGAACCGTTAGAACCCATGGATATGATCACTAATTTGGAAGAGGTCTGTGTTTCCGTTCTGTAAAATAAAAGGAAGATCAGATCAAAGAACGGAGGATCATTTCCTTCCTTCCTTCCGTTTTTTTTTTTTAATTGGAAGCCGCAGGAATAATAAAAAAAAAAAAATAACCATTTGATTCTCCCCAAAATACGAAGCATGTGCCCTAAGGGAGAAAGGGAGGGAGGAAGACGCCTTTCCGCCGCTCGGCTGCAGAATCTGTCCTCTCCCGTTAAGCAATCGGCGGGTCGGAGCTCGCCTGCTGGACAAGGGCCGGAGGACGCGCCTTGCCCGGGGCCCGATTTGTTTTCTAGAGAAACCATAAATATTATTCCACCCTAAGTAAACATTGATACCCGCGGATATGCGGACGAAAATAAAGTAAGCCGCCCGCTGACCGGGGGGGCGGGAGGAAAACAGCTTGAACTTTATAAATAAGGACCTGCTAATCATTTGACACTCCGAGGCAGGCCAGGTGGCCTCCCGACCGAGCGGGGGGATTCGGTGTCAGCCGCTGGTCCAGCCAGGTTTCCTACGCGAATCCCTCCTCCCCCCCCCACCCCCGGCCCTTCGAGTTACCGAATCTCCGAGGCCGGCCGGGGTGGGGGAAGGAGTGCGTCTCCGTCGCCATTAAAGCCCCGCGGCGCTTCGCAGTTGTTCCTCGCTAATCGTTTTTTTTTAATATATATAGATATACAACCAACGGCCCACGGTCCGGAGGTTGGGACCAGAGCCAGGCCGAGGGCCTATATTTAGCTGATCCCCCTGGGAAAAGAGAGCAGGGGCCTTTCCTGACTCGCCCAGCGGGCTCTCCGGCCTCGGCCGTGACATTGGATCGCGAGGCCTCGCTCCAGGCCGGAGCCTTTTGTTAGCCGGAGTAGCGCGCCCTCCGCGTGCCTCGCATAGCTCCAATACCGCGCGGCCTGCCTGGGCAGTGCGCGCGTCTCTTATATTTTTTTTCTCGAGGCGGGGAGGGTGGCTCGATTCTCAGGCCTCAGGTTCAGGTGGGGGGAAAGCTTCCCCGTTCGCCTTTCCTCTGGCGGTGGGGGAAGACAACCCGAGAAGGAATTGCTAATTCGGGGCTTGATCCTTGATCCGAAGTGAGACGCCGCTTTCTGGTGTGCAGGTGCTCAAATTCGGGGTGGAATGGCAGGTAGTCCCCCTGAAGCTTCAGGGCAACCCCGAACATGGCGGATGTGTAGACCTGAGGGCAGCTGATGGGTAGGCAGGTAGTCTGACAGGTGAGAGAGGCAGGGAGATGCTCCATGAAGGTAAAACACCCCCTTTTTTTAAGCTTCTTGATCTGAATGCCCCCATCTATATCAGTCCTTCTGCAAACACCCAGACTGCCTTTGCCTGACATAATGAACTTGGTGGCTAACCTAAGTTGCTTCTTCTGCTGCTTTTGCAAGATGTGGTTGCCCATGAATTAGTCACCTGGCTTCAATTCGCCTAATGCAGTAAGCAATTTTTTAAAAAAGGAATAATCACCAAACTTAGCCACTTTTGTGGGGGGGGGGTGCTGAATCAAGTTTGGCATATGTGTTAACACAGCCATAGGTGATTTTGGTGCATCAGGAACAATTTAAGAATGGGAAAGGAGTGCATATCCAAATCCAGAAGCCGCTAAACTTTTAAATTACTGCCCTGTTTTGTTCAACTGCATAAAATGAGTTTCCTTCCTTGGACATTAACTTTAGTTGACTGCTCCATTTATAGAAGCAGAAATAAGCAACTTTAGGTTCTGAGTTCAGGGACGAAAGGTTGGACTGGAGAAGACAGAAAGAAAGAGAAGAAAGGCCCTTACTGATAAAACCCAGGAAGCC